TTGGCCAGAACTGGAACACATAAGCATCACAGTAGCTTAGCTTCAGTTTATTTTCTGATATTATTGAACTTAATAGGAACAAATGCAAAGGCTAGATTCTTAAGTAAAAATATTTCTGAGAGCCCAAGGAAAAACCTGTCCTGTACCACGAAACTGCAGTGGGATCTCGCTGACAGTGTTTGTGGACAGAAATAGGAATGCCAGGCATCTGCTTGCTTCAGCTACCATCTTAATTTTAACAGATCTGTAGAGGTGTATCAGGATGCCTTATAAAAAAAGAATGCTGATCGGAGCCTGTTTTTTTTTCCTGCTTTCTTCATATAGTTATCTTCAGGCAGAATCAGCTACCTGCTTTGCAGGAAAAAAACTTTGCCCATGGCAAGTGTTGTTCCTGTGCCTAAAAATGTGAAGTCTTGGGAGAAAGTAGTTGTTAGACAGCCATCACTGGCAGCCCGAGCTGCCTCTAATGACAGATGTGTAAGTCAGCAGGCACCAGTTGGCAAGTATTTGTGCGACTCAACCTGGATCACATTGTCAGTGAGCTTTGTGTGGTTGTATCACATAGGGTAATTCATCTCACATCTCCTGCTTTGGTTTTCTTCTTCGAGCAGATCGGTGTAGTCAGATCTGCCCTGCTGCTTACCTTTGGAAACTCATGGTTTGCTTTTCTCTCTGTTTGTCTCTTGTAGTTAAAGGAAGTGCCAGAGTTGCAAAGAGAGCTTCAGACCATGAAAATAGCCCTTGCAGAAGCCAACATGGACAAGGCTCGCCTTCTGCAGGAAATTAGGAAATACAATCCCCTCTTCCAGCTTTGACAGTGAAGGCACAGGCTGCAGCTGCTCGGGAGGAGTAGAGACCAACACCAGCACTAAGCCGGCTAGTTTGATTTGTATTGCTGCTAAACGGGTCAACCTCCTGGAGACTGACCACCTCAAAGAATGGAAACCAACTGTGATGGCAAAATGAACTTGAAAGAGGGAGAAAAGAAGGCAGGCCTGGCTGAGCAACAGGAAAGGAATGAGGAGTTGTTCTCTATTTGCAGCCACTTTCCTCTGTCCTGGCAGAATGGTGCTGCCTCTGTCACTGAACCAGGGCAGTGGTCAGCCTACAAACAAAAGGTCAGAAGTTGGGGGACACGCCCCACGTCTCTTCATCCATGGGTAGTAGTGACAGTGTGCTTACAGCCTTCAGCTTTCGTGCTAACATCTAGAGATGGTCCATGTTGGGGTTTCTGCTTCTTTCAACCTTCCTCATTGTGTTCTTGCCCAGTCGTGCATGCCAAAGGACACAGAAAAAGGAGTGTAGTTACTTTACCACATCAGGAATGATGGAGAATAGGTATGGCAGAAAACATTGCTCAGAGCTCTGATGTGAAAGCGTGTGTACTATCACGTGAAAAAAAGAAACATAGGAGGTCAGTGGGTGTGGGAGATGCAGCAGGGATTTTCCCTCTGTGGAGTAAGGGGTCTACAGCTCCCTATTCCCTCAAGAACAGGGTCAGGAGAGTAAAGAAATTCCTTCAAGCTTCTTTTTTCACCAGTAATTTGTTGTGTCAAAGCATATTAGACTTAGTCTGGTTCTCGCTTAATCCCACAATGTTTTTCTTCACTGATGCGGAAACACAAATGAATTAATTTTATTTCACTATGAAGCACTGTTTAAACTTTCTTTAATTATACTGTCAAAGAACAGGGGTGAAGGAAGCTGGTTAAGCCACGGAATAAGATGACCTATGTGTTTTCTTTGGGATGCAGGCTGTCCTCAAGCCATTGTATATGAGTTTCACCAGTGGAGAGAGGGAGAGCAGTACTGGCCACACCAGGAGACAGCTGCCTGCGTCCTGCCCAGTCGTGTATTGTTGTTAGGACTGAGCTCTTGCCTGGTCTTAAATGTCTGTTAACAGGGCCGTTGGTATGAGGGTCAGGAGAAGGGTGCTGACTGGGCACCCTTGGGTGGAGGTTGACGCTATTAACTGCTCACTGTGGAGTGGAGATGGAACAGTAACTGCTGGGTTGAGCATGGTTTGTATTCTCACCTTCTCTGGAACTGCTTCCCTGAAGAGGAAGAAGTCTCCGTGGTCAGTGACTGACTTAATTTATAAAGAAATAGCCTCTACAGGTGTGTAGGGTGAAAAAAAAAAAAAAACAAAACAAAAAAAAAACAACAAACCTAGTAAAATATGAAGTAAACACTGATTTTATAAAGTGAAAAAGGAAATGTCATTTATGAACTGCAAGAAACAAATCCATGCCTGAAGACAAACTGGCACATGGTTTCTTTGCTCTGCTAGTCCAGACAATACACGGCCGATGTGCTGAAGAAGGCAGCAGCCGTAAGGGGCAGTTGTGATGGGAGAACCTGTTCCAGAGGAGAATTTGCTCTGCTCTCCAGTACAGAAGGGCTCTGTGTTACGGATGAACACCCATTCCCACCCCTGTTATACACAGCATCTTTACTGTGTGCAGTTTGTCAGACTTTATCTTTTGCTTTGGATTTTTCTAGATACATTTGTGTTCTGTAAATGTACCATTTCTGATGCACAGGCTTTTTCATGCATGTAAAACAGGTAGCAATTGCCCCACACTAAGTGCTAGGAAAAGTGACTGATGCTACGCGATTCTCCTGTATTAATCAGATGGCAGCTTCACTTGTCTGTAAAGGTTAGGTAACACTTACTGTGATTTTTAGCTGAACACAGTCCCCAAAACTTTAAGGGATTTTTCTGGGTTTTTTATTATATAAGTATTACTCCACTGAAATTAGATTAGCTAAAGTAACAGGAGATTTTAATCCTGCTCACTATGCAAGGAGCAGCCTCTGATTAACAAGCCATGATGAGCTGAGGCCTGGAAACTACCCAAAACCAAGCAAATACGTTGAGAGTTAAGTTTGTTTTTCCTACTGTGCTCTTATACTTGTCCCTTTGCCCAGCTCTGGAGCTGTTGAACACTTCTCCTTACCAGACACTCCTGAGGTCAGTTTAGTTCTTCTTTAGCTTTAGGGGAAACGAGAACATATTTACAGCGCTGGGCTAGAGGTGGAAGCACTGCTGTCTGTGGTTTGTGGGGAGCCAAGAGTGAATTCCTTGTGGTTGTTAGCTTTCACTTTGAAAAAAGAGGGTATGTAAGAGAGGGACGGTGATTAAAACAACTGTCACTCTTAAGATCATCATCTTAATTCTGTGTTTGACTCCATTAGACTGAAAGTAGCTTTGAATAGCACTGGTGGGAATGAATCCTTGCGTGCTAGGTTTGAACAGCCAGCCGCGGGGCAGGCTGCGCTGCCGCAGTCCAGCCGAGATCTGACTGACTGGGGCCTCCAACCAGATGCACAGCGGGAGCCTCGCCTTCCTTCTAGAACCTCTGGAAGCAGGCAGCCACAAACGAACAGAGAGGAGGACTCCTTGCCTTCGGCAGAAGCACGGGAGCGGAGCTCAGCAGGCTTCACGCTCACCACCCGCTTCGCCTGGGCTAGCTCTGATGCTTGGATGCTGGGACTTCGGCCAGTTGCTTTCCCTCCTCCACAGCAGAGGATCGCTTTTCCTTGTTCCTGTGGGACAGCCTGGCTGTTTTCTCTGGAGCACATTCTGTGACCCAGCCCCTGCTCGATGCAGCCTTTGACAGGACAGATTTGTGGTGCTGCCCGTGATAGAAAACGTGCAAGAGGGGCCCGTTCTTGCGAGGAAAATGCACTTTAACTTTTTAAGCGTCAGTGGGCATTTCCTTCACCAATACTGCCTCGTGCATAGAACTCAGAAGTAAAAGCAGGTGTTCCAAAATGCAGGTTATCTTCTGTAGAAAATAACTCTTGCTATGAGCAAGAAGGGAGGTAACAAAGCATTTATGTATCTAGATTTGCTGTGAAACAAACCTATCTGCGAACGGCTCACTGTAAGTACCATTATGAACCGCACAAAGCCCACACAAGCAAAAGTTGAAACCTTTGTGCTTCTGTGCTTGCTCCTTCTTCCTGTGTGAAGCAAGACGTTTAAGAATGCTTGCCTTAGGTGGAATGCAATGGTATTACTTTTTATTCACAAAGGAATTAGTTTTTATTCACTAATTCCTCAAAAATGGGAGGTTTCTTTTCTTCTCTTTCAAACTTTCAGGACTTCTTGTTTAAGTAGGTGTCCAGCTTCATCTCCAGCCAGCTTGGGAAATGAGTAGGGTACAAAGGTTTTTCAGAGGTGGTGCCTGCTAGCACTGTCACACCACTCCCTCCCACACATGGAGACTGAACACAGCTGGGGCCAGGTTGTTTACAGCAAATTTCTTGCTCCAGCAACTTCAGTCAATGGGTTTGATTTAAGATTTAAAGCACTTCCATCACTTTGTTTTTAAGTACCAGTAAGAAGTACTGTAAAACAGAATCCATGGCCTTTTTATAAGGCAGAGGGGTAGGAGGACAAAAACTCCTGTATCCACATACTGAGCAAAGTTTATGTTGTAGAGCCTTTGAAGGACTCTCTTTTACGATGAGAGCCCGCTTAATTCTTTGTGTAGCTACACCACACTTACACATGGCTTCAGCATCTTTAACATTTAGTTATAACAAACATGCTCACAGGGGACTGCTGTATTTACGGGTGGGTAAGGTGCAAGTCTGAACTTGAATTTGAGTTTTAGGCAGTATTGGAACTCTGTTGCAGTATATTTCCACTCATGCATTTATTGGTTCTATGAACCATGAAAAGAAATTAAACTTGTTAACCTCCTTACAGGTGCATGCATTTTTTTTTTTCCCCTCCCCCTTTCCCAACTGTACTGTTTTCCAGACAGCTCCATAAAATGGGCTTGGGGAAAAACAGCTGCATGATGACTTCAGAAGCATCAGCTTTCAGCGTGCCTTCCCTTCCTCATGCTAAGGGAACAATACCTGCCCCAGGCAAGGCGAAGCGTCACCAACATGTCAGGGTTGGTTGAGACAGATCACCCCGTTAAACTCCCCCCTACTTGGAATCACACAAACACCTTTACACAATCAGCATTTCCCAGCGTGACTAAGAATACAATAACAAGTTTAATGTACAAAGAGACACACTGCTGTACCCAGACACCACTCCATCCATGCCAGCAGGAACTATGACCCCAGTGGGTGAATACACCGAATGCCTTGGATGTTCCTGTCCCGGCTCTGTTGGTGCAGAGGGGCCCCAGGCTCCAGGTCAGGGATGACAAGCCCCACGCCCACAGTGACAGCAGGAACCCTCCCTCCAGTCATTAAGTCCTGACACGGCTCCTGAGGGAGCTTCAGTCCTGCAGCTCTGCTGTAACTTGGGAGGGTCACAACAGGAAGCTTGCTTTAACTTCCGTCTTCTCTTGCTGCTCTTGGGACACTTCAGTGGAAGATGATCTTTTTATATTTGGAGTTGGGGATCTGTCCTCGTGACTTCAGCCTCCTGACTGCCTCCCGCATGTGTTTGGGCTGCAGAGGTGGCAGCTCCCCCCACTTCTCACACACATCCAGTGCTAAGCAACACAAACCAAAGAGTTGACATGAGCCGGACATCTAAGCTTAGCCAGTCTCCTGCTGTCTGAGCTTTAATTTTAAAAGCAACAGGTAACACTTTCATCCAGGGTTTAGGACTCGCATTTTGTTAGCACACAAAAACAAAACCACTTTGTGTGCCTCTCTTGGAATGAAGAGTCAGTCCCAGGGGCATTACTACGGGACCAGAATAAACTGCTTTTTAAACCACTCGGCTACTATGGAATATGCTGGTTTGAGTCAGGCAAGAGCTTATGATCTTTAAACCTTCTGCTCTAAAGCCACCCCGAGGTTAGGTGGGGTGGTTGTGTTCAGAAGTGACAGGAAGGTACAACCTACAGTGGACTTACAGGCCAGTTTCTTTTCTATCATTTACAGAATCATTCACAGCTCCTGCCAAGGACATGAAGCAATTAACAACGTGAAACAATTGACAGCAGCAGCAAAGCTGCTTCTCCAGACTGCCTCAGGCACCACAGCACTGCAGGGACAGCAGCAGCAAAACAGCATCACCCCAGGAAGGGTGACCCCGGCACACAGAGGCTGCCTTTTCTGGGACAAGTCTATAGGATCTGGTTGGCACCAAAGGTGGAACCACCTCCTCCTCCAGCCCAAGCAGAGCAGGGGCACAGCAGGGTCAGCCCGCTGCCCACAGGAAATCTTGGCTCATCCCATAAATTAAGAATCTTACAAGTTAAGAGGCTTAAATAACTCATTTCCCTGTGGGCTGAATTTGTGCTCGGCAGCATTAACGAAGAATCCTTACTGCCCCACTGCAGCCTGCTCACCGGCCAATGGACCGAGCAAGAACAGCTCTGTTACCCTCCCTGGAGAGGGGAGCACAGGAGGCCAGTGGTCACCAACCTCTGCTGCCTCCTGGGCAGCGATCCTGGCAGGATTAGAGGGAACCCCACGCTTCACCCCGCTCTCAGCTCAGCTCCTCGCTGCAGCGTTCTGCTGCTGGGGGTCCGAGCACCCCCCGGGACAGCAAGGCTGGGAACTGCAGAGTATCTGCTCTGCTGTAAGCAAGGAGTCTACCCCATTTTCTTACCTTCTCCCTCAACATTTGCCACTCACCTTCCTCCACCACCTCCCCAACGAAGACCTTGGAAATGCCGGACATGGCGATAACCACGTTCTGAGAGACAGAGGTGCCGGTGATGGACTGGATCAGCTGGACAAGCGGAGAGGGACAGTCAGCTGAGTGAGGTACACACAGCAGCGGTGAAACATTTTAACTCATCGTTAGAAGTCTGAGCCTGCAAGTACCAACCAAGGGCTACTGAAACACACAGAACAGCAGTAACAGAGCTTTAGGATTAGGTCCTACAGCTCTGGGCAGGTGCTGGCTGTTGAGGTTTTAGCTTACCCTCACACAGCTGCAGACCTTGTGCCAGCAACTACTTTTTCCCACTGCCTCATGGCCCCCCAGACCACTGTTATTTAAGATGAGCTCCTATCGAAACTGCATAAGCCACGCGAGGGCACTGAGCTAGACCCTAATGGGATAAGCTGATCTGATCATGGCCTCAGCCCCAGGAGCTGAGCTGCAGCTGAAGGGGGGAGCACCCACAGAGCCAGCTTAAGCCCCCAATAAGGCCACAGCCTGGCTTAGTAAGGCTCAGCCTCCTTGTTCCATTCAGATGCCGTCTGTGGCAAAGCATTACTGAAGCCGTACCCGTTTAATAGCAGCTTTGGGGAACGCAGACCGGCGATACATCTCATAACGGTTCAACTGTTCTTCAGAAAAGGAAGAGACCAGTATTCTGGAGCGGAAAGAATTGATCATTTACAGCAAAAATAAAAAGTCTGAAGCACTTCAGGCTCCTGCAACAGTTCTGCAAAGCCCTTCTACCACCCCAAGCCTCCTGTAGCACTAAGCAGAGCCAGGAAGAGAAAGGTTTGTAACGCAAAATGTCTGCACCCGTTCAGGAGGGACCGTGGACAGAGCTACGGACACCCTTAACCACAGCCTCATAAACTGGTTAAACAATAATTATTACACGGCTGCCCGTGGCAAACCCCCGCACAGTGTGTGGTCCCTCCCAAGCACCAGCCCCCCAGCGCTCACTGCATCTTCTGGATCTCGTCCTCGTCCACTTTGTGCTTCTTCTCCTTCCTCTCCTTCAGCTCCAGCTTCACCTTCTTGGCGGCGGATGGCTGCAGGCCGGGGTCCTCCCCGTCCACCGCCTCCCCTTCCGCGCTCCTCACCTGGGCGAGAGCACAGCGCTGGGCTCGGCGCCCCCACAGCCCGGCCAGCCCCTCCCGTTCCCCCCAGCCTTTCCCACCCCGGTGCCCCTAGTTCCCCGCCAGGCCCGGCCTCACCTCCCCGTCCGGCGCCTCCGCCCTGGGCTCGCCGCCCCCGCCGGCCTCTCCCGCCTCGCCCTCGCCCGCCATCTCCACCGCCGCCGGCTCCTCCGCGGCCGCCGCTCCGTCCCCCGCGGGGGATGAGGCGGCGGGCGGCGGCTCCGGGCCCTTGGCCGCAGCCCCGAGCTCCTCCCGGGCCGCCTCGCCGGGAGCCGCCATTGTCCCGCGCGGCCGCCGTCGCCGCCTGATGACGCGACGCTACGGCTGCCGCGAGGGGCCGCGCCTTGCCGGCGGAGGGGCGGGGCCTGTCGCCAGGGCAACGGGGCTCCGGGTGAGGCGGGGGGCCAGGCCCGGGGCGGGGATGGGGAAATTGGGGGAACTGGGAGGGAGGACAACGGGGGAACTGGGGTGGGAAGGGCTGGGGGCACTGGGGGAACTGGAGTGAGGGCCACAGGGGGAGCTAGGGGTGATGGAGTGGGAAGGGCTGGGGGGCACTGGGGGAACTGGGTTGGGAGGGGCTGAGGGGGCACTGGGGGCACTGAGGGAATTGGGGTAGGAAGGTCTGGGGGCACTGCGGGAACCGGAGGGAGGACCACAGGGGGAGCTAGGGGTAATGGAGTGGGAAGGGCCGGGGGGCAGTGGGGGAACTGAGGGAACTGGGGTGGGAAGGGACGGGGGCACTGGGGGAACTGGAGTGAGGGCCACAGGGGGAGCTAGGGGTGATGGAGTGGGAAGGGCCGGGGGGCACTGGGGGAACTGGGGTGGGAAGGGCCGGGGGGCAGTGGGGGAACTGGGGTGGGAAGGGCCGGGGGGCAGTGGGGGAACTGAGGGAACTGGGGTGGGAAGGGCTGTGGGACACTGGTGGAACTGGGGTAGGAAGGTCTGGGGGCACTGGCACAACTGGGTTGGGAGGGGCTGAGGGGGCACTGGGGGCACTGAGGGAATTGGGGTAGGAAGGTCTGGGGGCACAGCGGGAACCGGAGGGAGGACCACAGGGGGAGCTAGGGGTAATGGAGTGGGAAGGGCCGGGGGGCACTGGGGGAACTGGCGTGGGAAGGGCTGGGGGACACTGGGGGAACTGAGGGAACCGGGATGGGAAGGGACGGGGGCACTGGGGGAACTGGAGTGAGGGCCACAGGGGGAGCTAGGGGTGATGGAGTGGGAAGGGCCGGGGGGCACTGGGGGAACTGGGGTGGGAAGGGCCGGGGGGCAGTGGGGGAACTGAGGGAACTGGGGTGGGAAGGGCTGTGGGACACTGGGGGAACTGGAGTGAGGGCCACAGGGGGAACTAGGGGTGATGGAGTGGGAAGGGCTGGGGGGCACTGGTGGAACTGGAGTAGGAAGGTCTGGGGGCACTGGTGCAACTGGGTTGGGAGGGGCTGAGGGGGCACTGGGGGAACTGGGGTAGGAAGGTCTGGGGGCACAGCGGGAACCGGAGGGAGGGCCACAGGGGGAACTGGGGGCACTGGGGTGGGAAGGGCTGGTGCTGGGGTAGGGGGTGGTGGGGGCGAGGGGGGTCCCTGCAGGGAGCCAGGAGGGGCCGGGGGGGCGGGCGAGTCCCCTCCAGCTGCAGGAGTCCTTTTGTGCAGAGCTGGAGGAGAAGCTGGCGGTGCCAGAGGAGCTGTGCTACAGTGGGGCAGGTTGGGGATCCGCAGCTCAGTCTCGGGGCCCAGATCGAAGCTCCCAACGAGCCAGAGCCCCTCCAGGTATCACTGTGGGTTTCACACTAATGTGGTGTCTCGTAAGCAGGGATCAGTTTGGAGAGGCTGCCACAGTCCATCTTCTCCAACGTTTCTTTCTAACAGATCCCACTCCGGCAGCAGGGAGCGAGGGTCAGGCTGGGATGGTGGGGGGAAGCCCCAGCCCCTCCTCGGCCTCTGGATCCTCACCCAGCTGCTTTGTTTCTTTGTTTGTTGTGCTGGAAGGTGGGATAACATTAACACAGGGCTGCAGGATTCATTCTGGCATGGCAAATCCTGGAATGCCTTTGGCGAAAGGTGCTTAAAGGCATGAAATTCCCAGCGGCGCCTTTACGCATCCTCTTCCTCCTCTGTGCTGTTCGGTGGGCCCAAGCCCCCCGGGCAAAGACTCAGACAGATGCTCAGCGGCGCGAGGCCGGTGGTGGGTGCTGAGGGTGCGATCCCCTGCAAGTCTCCTCCTGTGTGTGTGACCCAACACGGGATCAGAACGAGCTCCCTTCACCTCCCCTGAGCATGAACCGCGCTGTAACAGGCTTCCCCAAACACAGGGATCAAAAACTGCCTGAGTCAACCTGTGCAAATCCTGTTTGAGGGAGAGAGCAGATGTCTCTTAGGACTGATACTGTTAATATTATGTGCAAATGAACCATCTGGCAGCATTTGAATTATTTTTTATGCTAGCTTATAGCGTTATACAGCGGATATCTGCTTCTACCCATTTCACTTCGCGGTGTAGACTGATCCTCAGCGTGCAATGCAAAGCACCAAGCCTCCCCGAAGACTTCCCTGTGGGAAAATAGCTGCAAAATTATCCATGAATATTCATCCTCCCAGTAAACATGCGGAGGGAAAACCCTGGTAAAGATATTCCTCCTTTATATCCATTCTCCTTTATATGCATCCTCCTTTATATACAATCCTTCTTTATATGCATCCTCCTGCATATGCATCCTCCCGTATATACGCCCCTGAGCTAACACCTGTGTGTATTTTACACCCGGCTCCTCCAGAATATTAGAAAACTGGGAGATGGAATTTGACCAAAACCTGCCCCTTTCACCCTGCAGCACGTGCTGGAATCCCCCCTTTTATATTATTCAGGCGTTCAACGAATAAAATTAACTAAAACGAGCCAAAGAATGAGGTGGAGCAAGGGGTTCGTTAAAAGAACAACTCCGCGGGGGGGGCGGGGCCGGCGCCCGAAGGCCACGCCCCCCTAGCCGCAGGTCCCGCCCCCCGCCAGGCCCCGCCCCGGAAGGCCGCTCGGGGGGCGTGGCTTGGCGGGAGGCGGTGGCGGCGGCGGCGGGCGGCGGTGGCCGGGCCGGGCCATGGGGAAAGAGCAGGAGCTGCTGGAGGCCGCCCGTACCGGGAACCTGCCCGCTGTGGAGAAGCTGTTATCGGGAAAACGCCTCAGCTCCGGCTTCGGGGGCTCCGGGGGGGGAGGAGGAGGAGGAGGAGGAGGAGGTGGAGGAGGAGGTGGCTCCGGGGGGGGAGGCGGCGGAGGAGGCGGCGGGAGCGGCGGTGTGGGGCACCCGCTGTCCAGTCTCCTCAGGTGAGCGCGGCCTGGGGGGGGCTGAGGGGGGGGTGTGAGGAGGGGGCTGGGGGCCTGGTGGGCAAGGGGGCCGGTGGGTTGTGGGGCAGGAGGGGCTTATATGGGGCAGGGGGACAAGAGAGGGTGCGGGGCCGTGGGGTGGGAGGTGGGGGAGGTAAGGAGAGCGCGGTTGGAGCCCAGGAGGTGAGGTCTGTGGGGATATAGAGTTGCGGGGTGTATGGGGGTGGGGGGGGGCTGCAGGGCGCGAAGAGGAGTGTATGAAATGGGTAGTATGAAATGGGGGGATTTAGGGTGACAGGGGAGGGAGGGGTGTGGGGAAGGGAGCAGGGGGACCTGTAGGGTCATTCATGAGGTGGGGGCTGTGGGTGAGGTAGGAGGTATGGGGGGGTTTGGGGTGTTGTAGCACTGTGGTGCAGGGAGGGAGAATGTAGCTATGGAGTTGTGTTGATAGGGGCTGGGGGTCTGGGCTGGGGGAAATGAGGTAGGGGGGCAGCTGTAGGGGTTTGGATGAGCTCTTGCGGTGGAGCGTGCGGGCGAGATGAGGGGATGTTGGAGGTCCCTGGGGGACACGGCTGTGGGCTTCGAGCATGGAGGGACTTGAGGAGGCCGGTCCCCTGGGGGTCTGGGCCAGCGTGGGCCAGAGGAGGAGGCGTGTTGGATGGGAATTGAGGGCCCAGGGGATGGGATGAGATGTTACAGGGGGCTGTGATGAATGTGGGGCGCGCATCCGTCACATGTGGGGTGTTTGAGGATGGGCTGGGGGAGCTCTGAGGGTTTGGTGCTGCCTGGGGGACCAGAGGTGTGAGGGGGCTGGTGGCAGGGCCCCTCAGGCTTGCGTGCCCTGAGGTGAGGAGCAGCAGGGGCCGGCGGGCTGGGAGAGGAGAGGAGTCTGTCTGGAGCAGGCGCTTCCAGGGCTGGGTGCTGCCCAGCAGTGGTGTGTCCCCCGAGACTCGGGCTGCTGCCGGCTACGGGGTTGTGTTGCGGATGCTGCTGGTTACTGTCGGTAGCTGCAGACTGGTGGAACTGGGAAAACGTGATGCATTTGGAGGAGGACTCTGGGTCAGGGTGCTGGCAGAGGCTGCTGATTCTGAAGCCAGGGCATGTGTAGGTTCCCATGGTGAGGAGAGCTGCTGGCTGAATTCACTGGGGCAGATGTGCAGCCAGGTGTTCGGCAGGGCGTCCTCTCGCTCTGTGCACGCTCGCCCTTCGTCAGTAATTTCCATGGCTTGCAGCAATACTCCTGTGCTTCTCCAGTCCAAAGTGGCTGGTGGCGTTTGGGGGTCGGCTGTGCTGCTCTGGGGAGCTGTACAAGCAGAAGGAGGGCACAGTCATTTGCTTTAGCATTTATAGTAGTGCTGTGTAATTTGCTGTTTTGAAGCTCTTAGACCTTTGTTAGTTTTTTATCCTCCCCTTTTTTTCAGTATCTCCCAAGGAAACCACTTGCTGGTGCGTTTCTTGAGTTTCAGCTTTTTGCCATTTCAGCTTCTGTGCTGGAACTGCTCCTGTTCCTTGAGCAACTGGTTTATACTGGGGCAAGGGGAGGAGGTTTGAGTCCTGCGCTGGGTGACACTGTCACTGTGCAGCCTGACTGTTTAGAGGGATATGAGTTCCCCATTTGTGACCAAATTTGATCCACTTTTCACATAACCTTATCAGCAGTCTGCTCTTGCACACTGAGCTGAATGGCAGAGACCTGCCAACATGGAGAGCTTGTGCTTTCCTGATGCATGCTTTTGCTCCTCTGAAATGTAAATCTGCTCTCGGGTCAAACTTGATTCTTCTCATTTAATATATTAAACACTCTGAGCCCTTGTTTTGAGTGGGAGATTGCTCTGACCACTTCAGGCACATCTACATTAGAAGATGGATGTACTTGCAGGGTGTTTAGATAAAGTGGAGAGGGTCAGTTGAGTTAAATACACACCACAAGTGTTATCAGCCTCTTGTTCTAACAGCTCCGTCGCACTTTCCGACAGTGCGTGGTGATGACGGCAACCTTTTTTCCCCGGTAAGACAACTGCTTGTGATACCAGCTGATTTGTGGAGTGGGCAGGCTGTTTGACGTCTGATCGGTTAGCGTGATTTTTCACATGTACGTGTGGTTTTATGTGTAGATACATATCTGAAGGATAGTAAATGTCACAGCTGTCATTCATAGCTTGTGTGTTCATTAACTTGGCTGTCTTAAATGTCTGTCAGTTGACACTATAACAATCTTCCCACCAAATTTACCAATCCCTGAACCCATTTTTCCCTGCTGCTGAGTTACAGTCAGGCTTTTTGCATGTTTACAATAGTGGCTCTCGTTCTGGAGGCGCGTTGGTGTTCCCAGCATGTTGGGAGTCCTTGCAGCGCGTCGTTAACTTGCTGTGTGAAATCTGCTGCAGCATCCCTGGATTTACAAGAGTTTGCATGCTTGCCCCGAATGTGATTGCAGACCTGTGTGGATTGTGATCTTGGTACCATGTCTGTACAAGCAGTTACTGCAGTATTCCTCGACCTCAGTGTTACAAACACCTGGCAGTGACCATGAGGATGATTCTGCTCTTCCCTGCAGTCACTTCTTGCAAACTGGCAGTGGGGTGGGAGTTTGGGGGGCTGTGGTGTGTGGGGTTGCAGCACTGGGAGAGCAGGAGGTTGCTGGGGACTGTTTGAGGGCTCGGGTGCTGCAGTGAAGGAGGCATGTTAAGATATCGAAAATGGGCTTTCTGTGATTTAGAGAATTTCTGATTGTTTCCAGCGCTCTGTCAACTTGTTGCGTTTTTACATTGGGTTAAATGACTCCATGTGAGAAGACTTCTGCTTGTTTTACAGTGATGAGGTTTTTATGAGGAACAGCTGCTAAATTTACCTGCAAGGAGAAGCATGACAATTGTTTGGGAAGCAGCTGGGCAGTCTTCAAAACTTGGTTTCTATAGCGTGGGCTCTAAGTGATTGATTACTATCTGTGAGATGGCTCCGATATACACAAGCTCTGCTGAAGGATGTATTACAGCAGCCAACATACTCCTTCGTGTCTCCTAAGTACAGCAGCAAAACATTAGGTTTTGGGGATTGGTTTTCAAAAAAAAGTAGCCAGACTAAGTTTTAAAGAGGCCTTAGTGTGTCAGGGAAGAAGTGCAGGCAGTTGTCTTCTGCCTGTGTGTCCCTCGTCTCTGTTGTGGTCTGTTTTCACTCTGCAAAGTGTGAAATTAACTCTTGGCCCTGGTGCTGAGCCTGATTACTGACTTGTTTGCTCATCTCTTGAGGTGTGCAATTCCTCCGGAGCACCTTTGCCTGCGGTTTCCCTGTTTCCTGGGGGTAGGGAGGATATTGCAATAAGTTTTCCACAGCAGGCATGGTATTTAATTATAGCTAACTTTGACTTTCTGTACTCCTTCAAAAATAACTTCAAGGGTTCGGAAACAGGGAATGTGAAATTTTGTCTGTCTGACACTTGATGGAAAGTTAAGGATGGGCAAATTAAAGGGACCTGCTGCTGTGGGAGGAGGGTGGAGGTGACAGAAGAGTCTGCACAGTGTCCACCCCACCAACCCCTGCCTCCTCTGGAGCGCAGCATCCCAATGTGTGCAGCAGGTCAAGAACAACTTCGGAATAACTTTAAAGTTGAAGGGTTTTCTCTTAGATCTTACTCCTATATCATGATTTATTTTCCTGATGATGATTGGATGCATTTTATAAATTAAAACCAGTAAATACGGACTGGACATGTGCCCAGAGAAAGTCACGTTGCCGGTTAAGTGGAAGCATTGATGGAGAAGGCTAAGGTGCTTCAGTTGGTGGCTAGTTGTCAAGGCTCTACAGTGCAGGAAGCTGCTTAAACAATAGATGTCTTCAGTGCTAGTGGGTAAAGAAATCACAAAATAGGTATCTGGAGCAGGGACATACACACAAGAAAGTATGTATGATAAAGCTGTATCTGAGAGAATTTAGATTACAAAGCTTTGTCATCGAGATTTGGAAGTATTTAGAAAAGGAGGTAAGACTGCTTTTATCCTTGCACAGAAGTGGGTCGGGCTGCAAGCTTCTGTCAGAATGGCCTTGTGCCTGTTACGAGAGCCAAACACAATTTCTTGGTTGGGCATCTGTGCAAATCATCTCTTGACACCCATGGAACTGCTTTGCAAAACCACAGTCAGTCTGCGAGATGAGAGGATGGCTGAAGCTGATGGGGTAGGGGTCCACATCAGCTGTAAAGAAAAGACAGGTTTAATTTTGGGGATGTGCATTGTGTGGGAAACCTTACCAATGCTAGAACATAGGAACTTTTCTAATGAAGGGTTTCTTACCCCTCGGTTGCGGTGGAGAAACCTGTCTGTGGTCAGTTCTGTATGTTTTGTTTTCCCTTCCTCAAACAACTTCTGGCAGCCGCCGCCTTTTTGCACCGTCATTTTGATTCCTGGTCCTGCTGAAGCTGCTCACGTATTTAAATATATCTCCTGATAAGGGAGCTGCTAAGCTGTTCTCCACTCCCTAAAGCTCGTTCCAAGAACAGGGTCATAAACGGTCGGTTGGGCCGGCAGAGCTCCCTTACTCCTTCCTCTGTCTGTATTCGGGTCTCTGATGTCAGCATGGCATTTAGTTC